GGCTGTTCAGGCCGAGGGATACCTTGTCAGGCAGAAGGCATCATCGGAGATGGAAAAGCACAGTACAGAAGCCCAGTGTGTTTTGATTGGTCGTATTTTAAACCAGGGGACTGTTTAAACACCTCCTGTTGAAAGGGAGTTCTCAGGATCTAGGAGCCAGGCATTCAGATACCAGCACCCAGACGCGGAACCCAGGTCACTAGAAACCAGAGCATCCTTGACGTGACACCTAGCCTGGAGAACAGCCAGGGCTGCCGGGGACCCTCTCTGCCCCAGGCCTCCCTGACCACGACCCGGCCTGCCCCTGCTTCACCTCCGTCGTGACTCACCACCCCAGCCCCGTCCTCGGGGCCACAGACGCCGGCCGCTTGCATCGTGGGTGCTCCTGCTGCTGCAGTCAGGCCCCTGGCCCCGACAGACAGCCTTCTGTTCCTGGCAGGACCCTTCATTCCTGGGCGGCTGCCTGTCTGTGCCCAGCTGTCCACCCCTGAGCTGTGCCTGCCCCTATGAACCCCACCCTGGGGCACCTGATTTTCCCAGGGACTTCTATGCCTGACTCCCGCTTCGCCCACCCCCTGTGGACACCCGACCACATCGTGGTTATCTGTCTTTCCTCCAGTGAGAGACTTGGGGTCACATGTGCAGGGCTTGGGCCAGCATTGGAGCACTGACCCGGGCGGGGAGAAGAGATGGGGCTCCAGCTTCACCTGCCCTCTCTAGACTTCAGCGATGGTGCTCTTAGGCAGACCTTGGTCCTGTGAGTAGCAGGCCAGACCATGGACGGGAAATGCTTCTTGGTTTCCAAGCAACAGGTACATATCACCTCCTTTATTCATGCCCCTCCTTGTCTGAGACGGGATCCCTGGGGCTCACAAACAGCTGGTCCTGCTCTCTGGTTTCGTCCCTGGGATCACTGTTTCTTTTACTAGATGAGAGCCCTGAGTTATTCTGCAAGCTCACCTCCCGCCTCCCTCGCTGCCTTCGGGGCCCAGATCAGGACCCGTGTCTTTTTGTTCTGCCCTCCGCCCTCGCCACGCCAGCTCACTGCTGGCGCGTTCCCGGACTCCGTGGTTCCTTTGTCTCTGTCACTCACACTCTGGGTCCTGGTGGCTCCTCCTGGAGCCACGTTCGTGTTTCTCTAGGGAGGCCACGGAGCCAGCTTGCCTCGGTGACCGTGGGCGTGTGGATGGTTCCCCACCTTACTTCTCTCCGTGTGTAGCCGGCACTTCTGTTTACATAGGATTAAAAGTGAGTGAAGTCGCTCAGTCGTATCCAGCTCTTTGCCACCCTATGGGCTGTAGCCCACCAGGCTCCTCCATCCATGGAATTTTCTAGGCAAGAGTACTGGAGTGGGTTGCCATTTCCTTGTCCACGGGATCTTAGTGTTTCTGCCATAGATCTGATTCCCCCTCTTCAAACTCAGATTGCCCAGGAGATCTAGTCTTTCCTGGAGGTATCAAGCAAGAGACCAGACAGGCATCCTCTCAGTCATTAGACGTCAACTCCATGGGGACAGGGGTTTTCACCCTCTAGTCCAGTCATGCACGGATGTGAGAGTTGGACCGTAAAGAAGGCTGAGCGCCAAAGAATTGATGCTTTCGAACTGTGGTGCCAGGGGACAGCGGAAAATAGCAAAACACCAGTCCTGCTGCAGCAGAGGGCAGCTGTCTTGGCCTGCACCCCCATCACCCTCCATGATTAGAGGATGGGGATGGTCACTGGGACCAGTTTCCCCATGGCCTGTCACCCAGCCTGGCACCGGGTGGGTTCTTAACACTTCAGAGTCAGAGAGGATACCGTCAGAGCATGAAGATTTTTGAAACCTGGGCAGAAAATAAATAACAAACATATTCATCATAAGGCTTGAGCACTGACTAACATGTAAAAGCGTTTGCTTTAGGACCAGCCAGTGATCCTGGGGGCCCTGGACGCCTCAGCAGTATCTGGCAGCTTCTGAACTCTCTGAAATTGTCCACAAGTATTAACTAGACTGGGGGCTTCCCAGGTGACTCAGTGGTAAAGAATCCACCTGCCAATGCAGGAGATGAGGGCTTAGTCCCTGGGTCAGGAACATCCCCTGGAGGAGGAAATGGCCACCCACTCCAGTGTTCTTGCCTGGGAAATCCCACGGACAGAGGAGCCTGGCGGGCTACAGTCCATGGGGGTCACAAAGAGTCAGATGTGACTTAGTGACTAAACAACAACAACATCAACTAGACTAACCTTTTTTTTTTCCCTTGATGTCTACATACAGTCTTATATACAATGGGGTATATTATATACAGTGGGATCTAGTATTTTAAAAATTAAAAAGTATGTGTATAAGAAATGCTATTTTTAAAAGATTTGTATTGCAGAAGACCGGGACCATTTAAAAGGTGGCAAGAGAGTGAACCCTCCTGCAGTTAGCCATGCTCCCTGGACCTGGAGGGGGAGGAGGGTCTAAAGGGGGGGAGCCAGAGCCGGGGTGGGTGTGCCTTTGGTGGAGAGTAGGCGGCAAGTTGGAGAGAGAGTGAAGAAGAAATGACCACGTGGATAAAGATTCAACCTAGAGTCCCAGTCTCCTGGAGGCAGGTTCTCCTGCAGGAAGGAGCTGTGGGCTGACTCTTCCACCCCTCCCAGGACAGGCTCCCAGAGGCCTTGACTCGGCAGGGGATGGGAAGAAGGTTGACCCTCCTGACCATGCAGGGATGGGAAAGGCATTGCTGGTCTTAGGACGTCAGCAAGTTGCTTCCTAGGGCATTCCTGGAGCCAGGTGTAGAGCTTGAAAGAAACTAAGCTTTTTTTTTTTTTTTTTAGTATTTCTTAATACATGCTAAAATGTTCAGAAAATAGAAGTATTTTCAATTCAGATTTCCAGTATCTTTTTATAAAAGTGTTGTTTGCTTATTTATTTTCGGCTGTGCTGGGTCTTCGTTGCTGCGGAGGCTTTTCTCTGGTTGTGGCGAGCGGGGGCTCGGCTCTAGTCGCCACGCTTAGGTTTCCCACTGAAGTAGCTTCTCTTGTGAAGCACATGCTCTCAGCGTGCGGGCTTCAGTAGCTGTGGCTCCCGGGACCTAGAGCACAGGCTCATCGGTCATGGCCCACGGGCTTCGTTGTCCCTGCGGCAGGTGGGATTGTCCCACATCAGGAATCGAGCCCATCTCTCCTGCATTGGCAGAAGGATTCTTTACCACTGAGGCACCAGGGAAGCCCTCAAGTATCTTTATATTCAAAATCAGGTCATCCTTCTGTTCAAAAGCCTGCAGCGGCTCCCCAGAGTAAAAGCCGGTCCTAGACAGTATCCGAACCCCTCTTCCTCTCTGATGACACCCTCTCTGAGTCTCCCGTCCTCCCCTCTGTGGTTCTGGGACACTGCCAGCATGTACACCTGACCTTAGGGTCAGGTTCTGGTGATTTCCTCCTCCCCGAGGTATGCGCCTGAGTTCTCATGTCTTCACCATCTTTAAGCATTGGCCCACGTGTTGCCTTCTCATCAAGACCCTCTCTGTCCCCCCCACCCCTCCACCACCTCTGTAATGTCCACCCTCCATGGGCTCCTTTCCCCTCTCGCCACCTTGTGACGAAGTCTGGGTTGTGACCCCTCAGCTGTCTAAATGCCACTCAGACAGGGACCTTTGTTATTCTCAGCAGTGGATCCCGGACATCTAGAAAAGTGACTGGCTCACAGTAAGTGCTCAAAAGAACGTTTGTTGAATGAATGAACGTTTATTCATTCATTGCACAGAAGGTTCTGTCTTTTGAGTTAACAAAGACGCTGTGTCATGAAATGATGAATTCTTAGGAGCTTGGAGGTATCTGGGTGGTGTTCCTTCATCCCTTTCTCAGTGAACTTGTTCATTCTGCTGAATTGCATGTTCATTTCATGTCTTTTAAGGGTGTTGTGTTCTTCTCTCTGATAAAGTAAAGTTAGACATCATAAGTTGAGAGTTTCAGTTCCAGTGAATGATCACATTTGTGCACTGATTTTAACATTTTGGTGAGAGGGTTCAGTGAATCAAAAATTGCCGGGTCTACTGTGGACTTCTAAGCACTGTTGCTAGACATTGGTGAGACAGGGCGGTGGCCTATGGCATCTCACTAGTAATCAACTGATGTCTGGTCCTACAGAATGTTGAGGGAAGGAGACAGATGATCAGAAATACCTGTATCTTATGTGTGAGCACACACACGAGTCAACCCCATTTAAGATGACACTCTCCTATGTATTCCTGAGTATTTCTTTTGTTCCTAATATATCAAATTATTTGTGGGAAGAGAAAAATAAACAAGTAAAAACCTCCCCCCACCAACTTTCCTTTTCCAGAACTCCAAACATGCAAAACAGAGAACTTTATAAATCAGATAAAGACAAACATGATATGATATCATTTATATATGGAATCTTAAAAAAAAAAAAAAGGGGTTCAAACGAACTTAACTACAAAGTAGAAGTGGAATCACAGATGCAGAAAACAAGCTTATAGTGACCAGGGGGAAAGGAGAAGGGATTGGGGTTGACATATACAGATGACTGTGTGTAAAATGAATAACTTAGAAGAACCTACTGTGTCACACAGGAAACTCTACTCAATACTTTATAATGACCATATGGGAAAAGAATCTAAAAAGGAGTGGGTATGTGTATGTGTATCACTGATGCACTTTGGGGTACACCTGGAACTACAGCAGCATTTCAAATCAACTCTATTCCAATAAAAAAATTTTTAAAGTAATAAAGTTGGAGAAGCACTGGTCTTAAAAAAAAAAAAAAAACAGGAGGACTTTAAATTCTCCTGAGCAAAAAGAAGATGCCGAGAGGAGCTCCTGCTCTGGAATGGCAGGTGGCGTGTTCGGGCATGGGGAGCCCTGACCTTTTAACACAAGGTTTGCTCTGAGCCCACGGTTCGGAGACTGTTCCCGGGGCTTGGTAACTGGAGGAACGTTGCTGTGGTCCTTGGCAGAGTCTGGTTTCTCCGTGCTGACCTCTGCGCTCTTTTCCTTTTCCGGTCCGGCGGCAGACACGGGGCTGGGTGACCCCCTGTGCTCAAGCCCCAGCATTTCCAGCACCGCCAGCCCCAAGCTCGACCCGCCCCCCTCCCCTCACGCCAACAGAAAGAAGCATCGGAGGAAGAAAAGCACGAGCAACTTCAAAGCCGACGGCCTCTCTGGCACCGCTGACGGTAAGGCGCCCCCCCACCCCACCTTCCAAGGACTTTCAGGGGCAGAGTTCACGTTTCTGAAAAGTAATTCTCACTCCTCTCATTTGTAGCATCGTTTACCCCGAACCACAAATGCTCGGGGATGCAGGTCACTGCGTGTGCTTTCTGTTTACAAGGTGGTCCTGGGGGCCCTTTCTCTACCCACTGATCCTCCAGACTGCCCAACCACGTCGGCTGTCTTACCTCCTGACAGGTGTCACTGGGTCCATGCTAACACTGGCGTCCCAGCCCCCCATCCACCTGGGCAGGTTGTTTGGTCTTGCCCGACCTCGGCAAGCTGGGTTCGGGTGTCCGCTCCAGCCGAGCTGTGCCACGGTGTCGTCCTCCAAAAAAGACCAGCCTCCTGAGGTAGCAGTCTTCCTTGATACCTGCTCGACTTAATTTCGCGTTAAGACAGCCACTCCGATCCTGGCTTTCAGCTTCGTCTGATGATAACCGCCCCCTCTATTAATGCCCATCACTCCTGTTGTTTTGTGAGCTGCATTAGTGTTTCCATGGGCACCGTCTGTCTTGATTCTCCTCTGACTTGTTGAAGTCAGGTTTGATGCTCAGGGCTGGGCCCACGTGATCTCTCAGAAGTGGCTCCTTCTGATGGACTTACATTTTTTATTCCTTGGTGTGCCAGTGGAGGTGGACATGCACACAGGTACACAGGCATGGTGGGAAGTGAAGTTAATGCATTGTAATAAACAAGTTAAAGAAATACTTCAAAGGAAAGTTCAAATGTCAAAACATTGTTGTGTAACATGAATAATGATTGGTGAGACCAGTGAGAGTAAAACAGTCTGGTTTCAACAAGGATTCCATGTATGCTGGAAACAACCTTTATAGCTTACATCCTTTTCTTTCTCTATTTCTGCTGCACTTTTTCTGAAATACTCTTTTGACTGTTCAGATTGCAAGTTTGAGTGTGAAAGAAAGTGCCTGTTCCTTCCTAATATCTGAAGATAAGCTTAAATGAGATAAACCCACGATGCCTTTGTTAGCAAGGCAGGAGCAGATTTTACGGTACACGCGCTATGTCGTTTACTGTAATTCTGTGAGTTCGTGGCATTTTCATTTATAATGAGGAGACCAAGGTTCAGAGTGTCAGGGAGCTTGTTGGGGCTCTCTCATGGTGGCTGGAAAGAGTCTCGAAGCCCTTTTTCAGTGCCTGTCTTACCATTTTGCCTCCCATAGCTTCCTGCTAACAAGTTTAGCCCATAAAAACCGATTTTCTCCTGTTATGATAAATGAGGATGATTCTGTTATATCAGCAGTGGTGAAAAATAATGATTGTGGATCAAAGCACCCACTCAGACACCACTGGCCTTCCCATTGGAAAGTAAATCGCCCACAGATGCTGAGCATTGATGCAACGCCTTCCAAAAACTTCAGCAAAAAGCCCCCAGCCACGGATGGGTGGCCACACACCCCCTCTTACAAGAGGACTGGGGTAAAGTCAGAAAGATGCATGGCCACTGGCCAGGTGGGGAGCAGGTGCCCCACAGGCCCAGGGGAAGAGTGAGATTGCCTCAGGGAAAGGTCTCAGGCCCATTTCACAGATAAACATCTTACTGTGTTTGTCGTGTGTTTCCAACTAATGACTTTTTTTTAAAAGGTACCACTTGGTAGAAACTAATTATCAAGTCTTCCTATCACTTCATTACACACATTTCATCCTTTCTATTCATTCCACCCACCTCCTGGCATAGTGAAAACTGTGAATAAGATCCAGCCTGAAAGTAAATTAGTAGTGGTTGTGCGTTTAATTGGGCTGCCGGTTCAAATCAGCATCCTCCTCATCCAGTGGGTTCGCAGAAAGTTCGAGAAGTGACAGTAGGCTTGTTGGATGCCTGAAATGTTTCCATCTTCCACTTCCTGCATTATTGCAGTGGTACCGTGGGCTCTGAGCGATAGCCTGTGACGAGGCTGAGTCAGATCCTCAGCCCCAAGCCAGCCACGGACCCTTTCATTAGGGGCCTTCCTGCCGAGGTGGTGATGCAAACAGAAAGACAGATTCAGAAGCACCCAAATTAGAAATCAAAACAGCATCTCAGGCATGTTTGATGGGTGTCGGTTGATGTGTGTTCAGAAGTTCAGTGCTAATGACTAGAAAGGACACTGTGCCTCACTTTGTAGTTAAGAGGACCATCCCTATGATGCCATATCCGTGACATCTTTCCACTAGAAAATAAGACAAATTCTCTGTAAAAAGAATACGGATCATTTTTCCCTAGGAAATGTTACCTTCCCAACTATAAATGAGCCATTTTGGGGAGACAGGCTATATCCAAGGCATATTATTCTTTATTTTTTTTCCCCCACATTTTAACATCTTTGAAGTCAGAACACATCATTCAATTGAGATAATTTTAGATTCACAATGATGCACAATTTTTAAAATTTTCTTAATAACTATTAACCAAAATGTATTGGGAGAACCATCAAAGCTAAGCCTTCTTAAAGTGAAACCTAGTTGTATATTTTTAGAGGGTTGTTTAATTTTAATTATTAAAAATATTTCTATTTCTGTTTCCTGCAAAGCACTGTGACTTGTTATTGCCAGTGTATTCTCTTTGGCTTGACCTCATGCTGAAAAGTTGCAATCGTAAATATAGCAAGTTCTCTAGATGATGTCCATACAGTGGGTGAATTGTGTAGTTTTTGAGACACCCCGTTGGATCAGATGACTAGACTCAAATTATAGAGTATGAGAAAAATGCAATTCCCACTGAGAGTCAGCTATTTCACTCTGGGTTCCGGGGAAAATATGGCACCCTCAGCTGGGTCATTGGTGGGAATTTTCCACAGGGACTGTCAGTGGAGGCGTGGGCAGGGTGTGGGAAGAGCTATAGGGGTGGTGTGGGGCCCCAGGGGGTAACAGGGAAAGGAGGGACTGGTTATAAGACCCAGAGGGAGGCATCTGGGGAAGACCTCCATCCGGGGATATGTCCTTCAACAGAAGGACATGTGCCATCTGGTGACCCAGAGGGTGAGGAGCCCAGGAAAAGCCCCTGGCCTCCCTGTCCCCCTTGCCTCTGGTCCCCTGCCACCAGCTCATCTGCCAAACCCAGTAAGACACCAAAGACATCAGAGCTACTGATGCCACCACCCAGGCCTGCCTCCAAGGGCGGTGGAGGGCTGGCGGGAGCTGCTAGCAGAAGCTGTGAGTTGCTCATGCCTTTCTCAGTGCCTCTTGCACACCCCTGGGCACATCTGGCCCCTGATCTAACATCAGTGCAGTAGACCAGAAGTCTCTGTCCCCCGTGGCCCCCCAAGGGTCTGGCCTGAGCCCTGCTGAGGGAGGGGTTGGAGCTCCACGTGTGAACGTTTGAACTGTCCCCCCGAAGCCCATAAAGGAGCCCCACTCTCTTCCCAGGCTCTCAGCTGAGCACCAAGTTTCTGTCACTGGCTATTTCTTACCTTTGCAGTGTCTTTGTTCAGAAGGTAAAGACTAAAAGTGTGCCATCATCAAATATCTATGTTGCCTGAAAATCCAGAAACTCTCTGTCCACGTGGGGGCCCTTGGTGCCATAAGGATCTTGCTTCCCTGACTTTCTCGCTGCCCTGGCCCTCATCAGACTCGCTTACAGAGGTTCTTTTCTTCAGAAGAACAGGTCTACACAGGGTAGTTGAATTAAGTAGAACGGTTGTCATCTTCCTATGTTTACAATTTAAAATGAATGGATTGAGTCGCGTAAATTATGGGAGTAGCAACTGTGACCAAAGAGTTCCTTCATGAATATTTTGAGTTCCGACATGGTCACTGGGTTCACATATAACCCAGCCCTCATATGTGCTCAGTCGCTCAGTGGCGTCTGACTCTTTGTGACCCCACGGACTGCAGCCTGCCAGGCGCCGTGGAATTCTCCTGTCTAGAATACTGGAGTGGGTTGCCATGCCCTCCTCCAGGGGATCCTGCCGACCCAGAGATTGAACTCGCATTGCTGGCATCTGCAGGTGGATTCTTTCCCACTGCACCACCTGGGAAGCCCATAGAGAGAGTCAATATCATAGAGTATTCCAGCCTCCTCCGGGGTTGGGGGTTCTGAGTGTGGAAGAACTGCGAGGTATAAGCTAGTGTGGGTGACATTCAATTCAGTTCAGTCGCTCAGTCGTGTCCAACTCTTTGCGACCCCATGAACCGCAGCTCGCTAGGCCTCCCTGTCCATCACCAACTCCCAGAGTCCACCCAAACCCATGTCCATCGAGTCAGTGATGCCATCCAACCATCTCATCCTCTGTCATCCCCTTCTCCTCCTGTCCCCAGTCCCTCCCAGCATCAGGGTGTTTTCAAATGAGTCAGCTCCTCACATCAGGTGGCCAACGTATTGGAGTTTCAGCTTCAACATCAGTCCTTCCAATGAACACCCAGGACTGATCTCCTTTAGGATGGACTGGTTGGATCTCCTTGTAGTCCAAGGGATTCTCAAGAGTCTTCTCCAACAGCACAGTTCAAAAGCATCAATTCTTCTGCGCTCAGCTTTCTTTATAGTCCAACTCTCGTCTAAGCCAGAAGTGCCTTGGAAAGGTGGCTGTGTGTCTAGGTGTTTTCAGCGCTGAGAGCTGAGCTGTGTCCTTGGCAGGCGAGGGGCTGACTGCCATGGTGCTAACCATGCGAGGACCTAGTACGTGTCTCCAGCGCCCTCTGCATCTCTGGGCATCAGGCCCCCTACCCACCTACCCAGAGTCTTCTGCAGGTGTAGGTCTGTTCTTTCCATATATGCATTCTCTAAAAATACGTGAGCATTTTCCAGTTCTGTGGCCCCATTTGTAATGATAAAAAACACCTTTGTGATGTTTTTACCTGGGAAAACTAGACCATTCATGAAGAATGTCAGCAATGGGGCACTTCACTGTTGAGTATAACTTTGAGGGTAAGCTTCTTAGAAACCAGCATCTTCCAGGCTTCCCATGAAAAATGTGAAGGCGGCATTTAGCTTTAAAAAAAAAAAACTTCTGTATCATGAATACTACTT